TATTAGGCCTAATATTTAGAACAAATGTTACATCTGGATCTATTAACTTAGTCATTAGATCTGTCCCAGTACAATGCCTAGTTTAATAGTTAGTATAGGTCTAAGTATGCTTATAATATAGGCTACAATTTGTATGATGATGGACCTAGAGTCTAGAAATAAAGTTATAACTGCAATTAGAGACCTAATGTCTAGTACATTAGTTGGTGTAAGACATGATTTACAATCAACCAATACAATTACAAACTACTACATTAGGCCTATAATGTTTACTAGATCTAGGCCTTGCCTGTTGTATATATTGCCAATCTTGCACACCAGTTAATATGTTACATCAATCTCGTATTTTCTTTTTGTTGAACATACACTTACTTGTACGTTGTACTCTAGGACTTGTATTTAATCTACAGAAGAATGATAGAATAATGTAATTTACTTCTGTACGTCAATTCGGTCTCACTGTATTTCGGTGGACGGCTTTTAAAAGTTAAAACTGCAAGCGTAATACACACAAATAACGTAACACTGTGTCGTTTTTATTTAACGTAGGGCAGTTGTACTATATCCTAGGGGAGGGCATAATTACTAATTAATAGGCATTATAGGCCAAAGGAAATTTTGCACCCCCCCCCCCCTTTGCTACGCCACTGCATATTTGCTATCACAGTTTCAATTATCATTATCATGGTACATATTGCTGTATTTGGAAAAAGACTTTGTGAATTACATAACTTGTGTTTTACTTGGATTTTCAAAGATATTGAATGTTTTAACAAAAATATCAGTTTCATATTTTTACATTTAAGTATTTATCATTTAGTTTTAGTAATTATATTATGTTACATTTTGTATCAATGTGTTTGTTACATTTCTTTGTTTAGTACTCACTATGCGATTTCTTGATAAACCTCTATAGCACTAACTTGTACCTTCCATAATTTAAAAATATGCAAATATTTCAACAAAATATGCTCTATCTTTCTATACTTATGTGAAAAGTTAAGGCATATTTTGAAATTTGAAAGTAAGTATTAAGTTAATTCTGTGTTATAAAATAGCTTCATAAAGTTGCTAGTATAACTTTTACAGTGTAAAACGACAGTAATGGTGATGTGTAGGCTTACAGTATTTATTGTCAAAAGAATATTGATCTTAACACTTATTTTTTGTCCTAAGAAGTGATTAATAATGAGAGAGTACTCTCTCTTTTGACTTGTAATCAATATATATATAAATTCATCTTCACACCAAAATTTTAACTTTACTACTTGCTACAGAGCACTGCTTTGATGACTTGAGTGACTTAACACTTTCGAGAAGGGTCATGGGTGAAAGGCCATGTCATCTCATTTGTTGACTCACATTCAAAATTTAATTGAACTACTATTTCACAAATTTATGTCAATAAGTTTGGTATAGAACTGTTTATTTTAATTCAAAATTCAATACTATATATTACTCAATTTCTTAATTTAAAAGCAAATATTAAAAAACACAAATAAACATCAGTTTTTGTGTCACATGGTATGTTGAATGCAGCACTGATTCATATTAGATGTTTGTGAAGTCAAAATACTAAGTCTATAGTTTCCAAAGAATTAGGAATTCAAATTAATGATATTGACAAGCTAGAATATAAAATAAGAGCCTCTTATCTTTTCAATTTACTGAGATATTGCTCATGTAATAAATCAAACACTGTGGCATCCTGCCCACCTCTTTACATTTTTGAAAACTCTCCCTTATACACACTTACTTTGATATATGACATGAATAACCAATCGGAAGTTCAGAATGTCCCACTAGTGGCTTTCTCAGCCATTTTAAAGGACTCAGCCATTTCTTTCTTTTGAACCAATATTTCAAAGAGGTAGGGTGTCTTTAGTCTGCTCGACATTTTAGCTTTTTTTAGACTAAAATACATCTTAGTTACTAAGCTTTATAAATTATAGTGGAATTCTATGGTATTAAGGTAGTAATCTATGATTTTTTAGTTATTCAAATATATATATAAAACCTAAAACCTTCATATTTTTTATAACAACAATGTTTTCTTATAAATCTTTACACAGTGTAAACACAGATATTTCATTGATTAAAGTGAAGAAATACCCAACAGAATGTCATGACAAAAATGAACTTATGTTCACTACTGAGAGAAATTGTAATTATATTTTGTTATTAATCACATTTAAGAATTTCTGAAAAAAAAACAAGAACTGAGCTCTTATTGCATTTATAACATATTTTGAAGAAGTCATTGTCCAGAATTTCAAATACTTGTATAGAGTATCATTGGAGCAATATTGAAAGTATTTTGCTCAAGTGTACAGCTTTAGATGTTCAGTTAAATATTAAATGTGCCCAATGCTATTTTAATAAAAGCAGTAGCTTTTCCCCACAGAAACATTAAAAAAAGAATACTTCAGGTAACATAGAATGGCAGTACTACTACTACTACTACTAATTATTATAATTACATTACTTTCCTTCCTACTGGCTCTTCAGGACCAGGTGATGATGTTTCACCTCGACAGTTCTGAGATAGGATCCTACTTCACCATGCATGGGACACCCTTTTCAAGTGGCCTTTGTTTTCAAACTTTATTATGGGCCCACTGTCATTATATTGCTTTGTTTCTACTACTTGTGGCATCTAGTTAGTCTTGTTAGATCATTTACACCACTTATTTCTTCAGAATTATATCTTACATTGGTCAAAATAATATTTACTTATTAGTCAATAATCTAACCAGTGGCTACTTTTTTATATTTAGCTGCCAGTATCATAACGTATCTAGTTAACCTAAGATGATTCTTTTAATGTAGAACATTGATTTGGGTTATTGCACATTTGAATTTTAACAGAGTTGTTAAAAGGATCTGGAGGGCTAAGTTTCCAGCAGAGGTCTAGGGGCAGACCTGCTGGTGGGGGCAAACAATTTGTATGTTATTTTAGGTGTTATACTTGGTAGGTAGTGACCGCTAATTAAAAGACAAATAATCAGAAATCATGGACAAATATGATGCTGAGG